AGTTGACGGGCTGTTTATTGGTTTTATTGTTTTTCTTTTAATTTTTTTTTTGAGCTGCGCCCTCGGCCTGAAGCCTGGATGCGTCAGCGGCAAATGTTTTATGACAGAAAAATCAACAAATGTGTGACATGTGTTTGTGTGGACTTGAGGATGGTGTTGAGGCATCTCTCGAGGCGGCGGGAACACATTTAGAGCTGGGGAACCGTGGACTTCCAACTCTGTCACAGAGGGGAGAAGGAGGGGCTGTCACGCCACTCGCTTCTTCTTCCTCGACTGCTGGCCGAAATTCTGGGTCGGCTGCGCCTGAGGTGCAGCCGGAACCGGAGATTTTCTAGGCCAGCTCGCCCTCGTCTCCAGCCTGGGCTGGGGACTCGGGGCGGGCTGCGACCTCTGCGTCTTCGGTGTTTTAAACCGAGCAGGGTTCGAGGCAGCTTGGGCGAAGAACTGCTGCTACGAAGGACTGCTGCTGCGAAGGCAGCGGCTGGACCCTTCGAGGGAGGCAGAGGTGGAGTGCCTCGTCCTCCTTCTTTTTCGACTCACACCTCCTTTGCATGAAGGCGAGAGCGGAGCCGAAAATTCCCTCGGGAACGATGGGCATATCCAGCACATCCTCCTTTTCCCGGTCTGGGAGGTTGGTGAGGTTGAGCCATCTCGCTCTTTCCTGCACCACCATGATCCCCATTGCCTTACCCTTGGCCTGGACGGCGCAGCGTTGGACACGGAGACAAATGTCCGTGACCGCTGCCATCTCGTCCAGAGTGGCTGCCCCCGGGTTACCCGACAGGTCCTCGTAGAGCTCCGCTTGGTAAGCGGTTAGCAGCGAGGACACATTCAGGGCCCTGGCGGACAACGCTGCGGCTTTGTAGGACCGTTCAGTCATTGTCGACTGAAATCGGTCCGACTTTGCTGGCAGCGTGGGGTTCCTGCTTGGTGACGGGCCCATCCTCGGTAGGAGGTGGGCCGCTACCCAGCGGTTCCATGGGCGGTATGGGGAGCAGGCCGAGCTTCTCCATTCCGTTACAGTCTAGGGAGGAGGCACCCTGGATTGGGACCTTGTTACTGAAGGGCCGGTCTCTCCACAAGACCGACACCTCATCCAACATCTCCGGGAAGACCGGAAGGAGTTGCCTCTTCGTCCGCGCTGCTTGGGGAAAATGTTTCCCTTCGTAGCGGGACCTGGAGGTCTCCTTGGCCATTTCAGGCCACGGGATGTCGAGTCTGGCCGCGGCGCGTTTACACACGGCCTGCAGGTCCATGCTCAGACAGGGCGAGGCTGGTGTGCTATCGCCCGGGAGAGCAGCCTGAGCCGATGACATAAAGATGTCCTCTTCATGTTCATGCGACTCGGACAGGAGGAACACCGAGGCGTCCTCTTCGTCCTCATCGTAGTCCAGCTCGAGGACATCCTCCGCGGGTGAGACCATGGTGAGGTCTAACCGGGAGCCCCAGCTCGGTAAAGCGTGGGGTCCCGTTCCCGCGTGTCTTGCCGTCACCGGGTCCCAGCCTGCCAGGGCGCGGGATTCCGGTTCTGCAGCCATCGCAGATAATGAGCCCCAGACCGACACGGAGAGGGGTTCACTCTCTGCGGCGGACGCCCCCGCGTCTTGACTGCCGGCCGGCAGGTCAGTGGACATGGGGGGGTCCTGCTCCGACAGGCTATCTTGGCCTGCTAGCCTACGGCGGAGGCTCTTCACGGTGAAGCGGACACAATGTCCGCACGAGCCGGGGTTGTCGATAGCGCCTCGGGCGTGTTCCAGCCCGAGGCAGGACGAGCAGACCTGGTGTGTGTCTGTGCCCGAGATCTTCAACCCGCAGCCGCAGAGTCGAGCCACCGAGTCGAGCCACCGAGTCCCTGACTCCTCTGGTGTGAGGGAGAGAGGCGTCCATCTTGTTCGCCTCGTGGCGTGGAGAGGACAGGTAAGTTGGGAGAAAAAAGGTGTTACCACCCTGTCCTTAATCCGGAGAAAAGGACGGTGTGGGTCTTTTATTCCCGGAGAATACTGACTGGTGTGACAGTATGCTCCATTAATCCTTTCCTCCTCCGTGGGGGAGAGAAAAGAAAAAGCTTCCTCGCTACCGTGGTGTCGATATTGAGGGAGCGAGCTAGCAACAGGTGTGTTGTTAGCTTGAAAAAATCAGACCTACCTTACTTTCCGGGGAAAGAGAACGGTGAGGTCGATTTCAATACTAACTGGCGTTAGTATTACCGTCTTCCTGCAAAGCATAAGGAGTAGCCGGCGAGCGCCCGTCGACCGAAATGGTTATATTTGGGTTCAGTCTGTGGACCGTTAAGCTTGTCCGGCTACTATAGAGATGTGCTCTGAAGCGAGAAGAGGTGAATGACGCATGCGTCATGGCGCAAGCTACTTATAGGGGGTGAATTCCCTGACGCTGACGTCAAGATCACCAGCCAATCAGGATTGGCGTAATGAGATTGATGCTTCTGTTTGCTCCGCGATGAGGCGCATCCCATAGTGAGACATCGAACGGAGTGTTATGAATGAGAACTTTACAGCGGCCGCTGCCGCGAGTTAACGGGAGAATAAACTCCGGTAGACGAGCAGCACTGCAGCAGGCAGTAATGCAGCTGAACCACATTAATAAACAATACACCACGGCACTCTGGAGAAAGGTACAAGGTTGGAGAAGTAGTTCTCTAATTTAATCTGGCATCGTATAATTAAAAAGGTAACACTTTACAATAAGGTACACAAAATGTGCTTAGTTACTGCTTAGTTACTGAGGAACTACTAGATAGTTAATGGTTAGTTAATGAGTAGTTCCTCAGTGACTGCGATTGAGGAACTGATGGTTAGTTACTGGTAAACAGACTGGGGGTACTGTATTAACGAATCATTCGTTAATGGTTAGTTAATGAGTAGTTCCTCAGTGAACTTATGGTTAGTTACTGGTAAACAGACGGGGGGGTACTGTATTAACGAATCATTCGTTAATGGTTACTTAATGAGTAGTTCCTCAGTGACTGCGATGGATGGTTAGTTAGTTAGTTACTGGTAAACAGACTGGGGTACTGTATTAATGAATCATTCGTTAATGGTTACTTAATGAGGAGTTCCTGAGTGAACTAATGCTTAGTTACTGGTAAACAGACTGGGGTACTGTATTAATGAATCATTCGTTAATGGTTACTTTATGAGGAGTTCCTGGGAGACTTTGATTGAAGCAATGGTCCGCTGCAGCAGGGCACATTTAAACCTGCCATCTTCGGCTGGCTTGGGTCCCACCCTGGATCAACTGGTGGAGGTGGATCCAATTTACCTTACCATTACTTAGGCCGTTTGGGTATGGTAAACTCATGGAACGCAAACAAAAACAGTAGTTACCCATTACCTAATGATTACCTTACCGTTACTAAAACAGTAGTTACCCATTAAGTAATGCTTACCTTACCATTCGTTAAGCAGTGTGTGTCCCCTCAAGTAAAGTAATGCATGAAAAACAGTAGTTACCCATTACCTAATGCCTACTTAACCATTCGTTAAGCATTGTGTGTCCCCTCAAGTAAAGTAATGCATCAAAAACAGTAGTTACCCATTACCTAATGCCTACTTAACCATTCGTTAAGCATTGTGTGTCCCCTCAAGTAAAGTAATGCATCAAAAACAGTAGTTACCCATTACCTAATGATTACCTCACCATTAGTTAAGCAGTTTAACAAACAAACAAACACTGTTGATGACAATGACGGATCTACAGCCACTGAAGTTTTACATTTTTATTCAAACAACGATGAACATAACAACAACAACAAAAAATGGAAATAAAAAATACTTTTTGTAAAAGAAAACTAAAAACAATTGCAAACCAAAAAAACATCCATTCCTTCCTCACTTCCCCTTTGGATTAATGGATAATAGTCCTCCATTGGTCTTCAAGTCCTGGACCTTCCCCTCTAAATGTTGGTCCTTTATGGCAGCTTTACACATCTCAGTGAAACGGAGAAGGGTTTCCCCCTTCTTCAGTGTTCCCCGGATATCTTGGTAGATTCCCGGGTTCACGGCATGCAGTTCTGCAATTCCTGCAGTGTCGGCAATGGTTTTGCGGTCCACTCCTACCGCTCTGTAAGCCGCCGTTTTATTATTCCCCTTGTTTACCGCCTCAAGAACACGCTTGTAGCGGCTTATGGCGTCTTCTGGGGTCAGGACTGAAACAGAAAAAAAGACAAATATGTAACTATTTAATAACAGTACTTTGTTGTTGCCTATCCTAATGATGTCTGTAGTGCAGAAATCAGTTTGGATATGGGTTTATTTATTGATAATATTGTTGTACTAGTGTTATATAGTGGTAGTGTAATCCTTACATACAAAATTGTGTAATGAATTGGTGTAGTGTAAAGGTATTACTAGTCGTGTAGCTTTGCTCAAAGTAATGTATGTATACATGTTAGTTATTGTGTTTGGGGTGTGTACCTTTATATACAGAAGTTAGGTTTGGGCAATCAGCTCTACTTTTATCCAATCATGTTTAATAATGATAACTGATAAGACGATCCACAATGTGGATTTAACGCTCTATCGACATTGCCCCGTTTCTAATTTATAACGCATCAATATTGCCAAGTTTTAGCCTGGCATCCTCATGTCTCAGCAGCCTTTAAATGGAACAGTTTGGAGAATCTGCTCTCCCTGTTCTTTTATTAAAATCTGACACTGCAGGTTAATGTAAGCGTGCAGAGACCAGTTGTTTGGCAACACTGGTGTCGCTCTGAACAGAGCGACATCACAGCATGTTCTGTTTAACATTATAGGCCTACTTATATTCAGGGATGCAAACACCCGTATGGTGAAATAAGAGAGAACTATTAGAAACAGAAAAAACAGCGTAATATACCATCTGACAAAGGCCTGCGCTATAATGCGTCAATTAACTAACTGGCTATTCTTTATAATATACGGATAGGAGACAGAGATGTTATACTCTTAAAAATGCTGGGTTATTTCTATAAACACATTGTTGGGTTGATTTGGCTGGGTCATAATTATGGGTTATTTGGGTACTGTAAACACACTGGTGGGTTGTTCATGCTGGGTCAAAGGGGTTATTAGGGCTTCAATTGCAGTTGAACACCCGCCTGGGTTATTTTTAACCCAGAGGTTGCTTTATTCATTTTCCCACTTCTGAATCATTCTGGAATCATCTTTTTCAAAACACAAGGTATGTAACCTATATTTTACCTATATTTATATAACTATACAATTCTGTAACCTATATTTTTTTAATGAGTTGTGATAACAGTTCAATAGGGATCTTTAGGCATTTAACAGACTGTGCAAAGTATAACATTAGCAGTTAACGTCGGCTACAAATGTTTTACATTTCTGTCAATGAGTGAAAGAGCCTTGAATTTACGTTGTGATGCTATGAATTATTATTTTACAAAGACGTGTGTTCTACTAGTAGCTATAAATGGGTCTGAACTATAGCTTTGGATTTGTGTGCAAAAGTATTAGATGTACAATAAGGCAGTATAAATCAGATGGCTTTTACGTCACAACTCTCTTTCCCAGCATGCAGCTCGGGCGCGGGCTTTCACACACACGGACAGACAGACGACAAAGAAGCTCATTGATGTAGGTAAGTTTAGGTTACTAGAGTTATTTATTAATTACATTAATCATTAAAGTTAGCAACTTTTGAAGTTATTTTTAGGAGTGAGTGACCGGAGTCACCGAACCACATAATGTAACATTTTAGTTCCCTGCCATCGACGTGTTACCATAGGTTAGCTTAGCTTAGCATAGCACACCAACCAGCAGGCTAGCTAGGTCGTGTCAGGGGCAAATAATAATAATTCGTGAATGATTAAAATGTCTTCATGGAGAGATTTGGCAGACCCCCTGTAGTAACTGTACATTAGTAGCTTGGTACCTTACAATAAATGTTAAAACATTGCACAGTTTTGTGAAATTCTAATGTACTTAATCTCATTTGATTCTAGTAGAGGGTTTCACCATGGACACGTTTGTCACAGAGACGTTGACTGCATGGCAGCTTGAGAACTTGATTGACACATTTAAAGGTAAGTTAATTTTTATTGAGACAATGTTGAGATGTTACTATTAAATATTTTGTTATATATTAAAAAGAGCAAGGTAGCGCTGCAACAAACAACTAATTTGATAATCGATTAATCTATCGATTAATGAAACGATTAATCGACTATTCGGACTATTACTGTATGCTTTGCACAATTTTTCAAACGCTCTTATTTAGCCATCAACTTTTAGATGTAGCTTGAGCTTGTTTTAGGCATGTGAAAACTAACAAGACAATAAAGATGAATACTTGATTCAAAAATACATATATTATTAAATTAACTAAACACATTTTGAACAAAATTAACATTGCTTTTAATTTAAATTAAATAAATAATATTTCACATCAAAAGAAACAACAGTGTTTTAACAAATGGTATTAAATAATGTGATGACAGAACTGTAAACAGAATAGGTGAAACTTTAACAAACTAAATAACTCAGTTTCCTCTAATAAATAAAATAGCTTTTGAAAATATGTGCATCTTAAAGTGCTTAATTTTAGATAAATAAAATAAAGTGTAGCAGCAGCTTAAGTTTCTCTTTTTCTTTGTTAACCGTTTCACATCATGACTTAACAGTTTCAGCCGATTATAGAACAATATCAGTCTTTACATCATAACAATAGAACAGTTTTAAAGTTTCTTTTTCTTTCCCTCTTATATTGCAGTCCCTCACTCACTTTTTTTAAATTCAGTGCTAGAATTGAGCTGGAGCTTGTCCTGCCAGGAGTTTGTAAATCTGGGCTGAAATGGAGTCAGGGCCATTCTCATACACATGCAGGTGCTCATTGGTTACAGTGATGCAAACACAGGTATGGTGAAAAAAGAGAGAACTATTCGAAGCAGGAAAAAAACAGCGTAATATACCATCTGACAAAGGCCTGCGCTATAATGCTTCAATTAACTGCTATTCTTTATAATATACTCAGATCAATAGGAGACAGAGATGTTAAGTTATAAATCAAGGGCTTTTATTATTATTTACAGCAGGGGTGGGGAACCTTTTTCCTTTCAATTTTTACAACATCCTCCGAGGGCCGTACAAATGATTGAACTCAACCTCTGCTTAAAAAAACTAAAATCACAGCCCATTCATTTGGCCTTTCTTTCAGCTGTGCAAAGAAAAAGCAACCAATCCAAATGTATTTAGTATCCTATCCATGTGAACATGATTTAAGTGGGGGGGGGACCTCACCTCCTCTAGGGGGGTCCGGGGGCATGGTCCCCCGGGAAGATTTTTTTTTTAAATATTGAAGTTAAAAGCATCAATCTGGCCTACATCTGGTCCCACAATTGTAACCACATTTACAATCTTTATGATTTTCATTTTTGAATTTCAGACCAGGAAGTTGATGAGGAAAGTTTCCGCCTGCTGGATGCCATTGCCATTGCCTCGCTAATACCGAAAATTGGACACCGTGTCAAATTCCAGAAATGTCACAAGGAACTTGTGAGTAAAGGGTTTGTTTTTATCTGAAGTGGCAGATAAGTTTTCTTCTCTGCTCCATCCACTTATTTGTTTCACACCTTTCCTTGCCCTTTAAGAAGTGTCAGCTACAGTAGTTAATGATGGCATATACATGCTTCCGCTGCAGACAAGTGATACCCGGTGAAGCTAAGGGTCTGTTTGTTCATTTGAGGGCAGTGCATGGCATGAATAGTGCTTCAACATTCTGGCAGTGCCACGAACATGGTTGCAGGCGTTCTTTTGGGTATGTGCGGTCTTTCAGAAGACACCTTGTGCAGCATTATGTCCCAGACCATTATCATGGCACTGAACAGCATTCCAGGGGGGCCTCAAGAGCATCCATTTCAGTTCCCATGAATGTAGACAATTCTGATCTTGTAGAGGTCCGAAATGAACATGATGGTTACTGGGATGACTTGGAACCAGAAACCATAACCGAGCGAATAGCTCTGTTTTTGGCAACCCTTAAGGCTAAATCGGCACAGACCTACAGTACAGTACGTTTTGTTGTGCAACAAACATCTAGTTTGGTTTCGGACATTGTCAGTTCACTCCAGAGGAAGACAATGTATCTGTTTGAGAAATGTGGTCATAGTGATGAACCCGGGGTAAAGGAACTGGCCCATGATTTTGAGGCAGCAGCTAATCCATTCGAAGGGTTTGAATCAGAATTCAAACAGATGCAGTATTTTGTCAAGTCAGGCAACTTCATTGACCCTGTAGAGGAGGCGTTCACTGGAGAGTCCTTTGTGCAGAGAAGGGCCTCTGCTACTGGGACAGTTAGACAGGTTTTACTGCAAGATACGTTTTATCGTGTCCCCCTGAAACCTCTCTTGCTTAAAGTGCTTGAGATCCCTGGCATTTTGGATGCCATCTTTGCCTGGCAGCAAAGAGAAGATGGAGTCCTTTCAGACTTCTATGATGGGGAATACTGTAAGCAGCATCCTCTCTTCTCCAGGGAAGTGTCTGTTCCACTTCTGTTGTACAACGATGACTGTGAAACAGTCAACCCACTGGGATCAAAAGTTGCAGTGCACAAGTTGGGGTTCATTTACTTGGTCATCAAGAGTTTGCCCCCAGTGTTTTTATCAAAACTCTCATCACACTTTCTGGTGGCAGTTTACAAAGTGGATGATGCCAAAACCTATGGGATTGATAGTGTTATGCGCCCAGTCATAGAGGAACTGAAGGATCTTGAGGTCAATGGGATCTCTCTCGACACACCTCACTTTAAGGGTGAAATGAGATTTTCAGTTGCCCAGTTGTGTGGGGACAATCTCGGCTTGAATGCCATTCTTGGATTTACTGAGTGATTCTCCAGTAATTATTTTTGTCGCCTCTGCAAGGCACACAAGACCACAACAAAGACACAGACAAAAGAGGATGCATCCCTGATCAGAAATGAGGCAAATTATACTGCAGATGTTAGTCATAATAGCCTGTCAGATACTGGTGTCAAGAGAGACAGTATTCTGAATAATTTATCCAACTTTAATGTGACACACAACAAGGTTTTGGATATTATGCATGACTTGTTGGAAGGGGTAGGTCCATTTGAACTGAAGTTGGTTCTCGCCTCCTTGATTGAGGACAAACACCTTACCCTTGACACGCTCAACTTCAGAATCACCAGTTTTGATTATGGCTTTTCTGATGTCAAGAACAAGCCAACTGTGATTGGGAAGCAGGAACTTAGAATTCCAGAAAGGGCAATGCGTCATTCTGCATCCCAAACATGGTGTCTTCTCAGGCATGTTCCGTGTATGATTGGGGACCTCATACCGGAAGAGAATAAACACTGGGAGCTCTTGCTCCTCCTTCTGGAATGCATGGAAATTGTTTTCTCTCCATCTCTGACACCAGAAGTTACCGTTTATTTAGCCGCCATCATTGAAGAGCACCACTCTCTGTTCCTTGAGCTGTACCCCCACAAGCACCTTATTCCAAAGCATCACTTAATGGTGCACTATCCAGATGCAATACTGAAGTTGGGACCACTGATTCAGTTCTGGGCAATGCGTTTTGAAGCGAAACATGCCTTTTTTAAACGCATCTGCCACATCACCTGCAACTTCAGAAATATTTGCAAGACAATGGCATTTAGGCATCAGATGACTCTGTGCTACTCCCTCCTCGCTGGTGATGTATTCAAACCGGAAACTGAAATTGGTCCAGGTCACAGCACCCTGCTGGCTGTAATGGATGGTTTTGGTGAGGTACAAAGTGGTCTTGAAGATATCCCACCCTTTACTGAAACCTTTTTGCCAACTTGGGTAAAGGTTAATGGTACACAATACAGACCTGGCGTGACAGTATTTCTGTCTTACGCTGCTGATGGAGACCCCCAGTTTGGCCTAGTGAAAAATATTCTAGTCTTGGATCACTCAGTCAAGCTTGTTGTCCAAAAGTGGGATACAGTAGGATTTGATAGGCATTTGTTTGCCTATGGTGTTGAGGCAACCACTAATGTGTTTGCTGTTGATCAGAGTTACCTCCAGGACTATCACGGTCTCCATGCAGTGAAGTCCTACAGAGATGATGACAATTACTCATACGTTTCACTTAGATACAGAGTATTTTAACCACTGCATCCAAATTCTGGGGGGGGGGGGGATATTTGCCAAAAAAAGCAACACAAAGCATTGAGAGCTTGTAGATTGGCTATTGGCTGCAAAGATATTTGGTGTAGAGAGAAATTAGAAATGATCTCCGCTAGGCCAGATTGGCTTAGCCTGGCATTGCCAGACTGATCACGTGGGATCACTAACAAGTTCTTCCACGGTAGGAACTTAAAAGTAAATTAGAGTCAACTGGAATGGAATATGATAAATCTGAATGATACATCTTGATCACATGGCTGCAGAGATGTGTACCATTTGTATGAGTTTTGTTCAAAATCTGTAGAAGTAGCAGCAAAAAGTGTGTTTTGGAGAAAATGCACACTGGTGGAAAATATAGTCCAGCACAAATGGTCATGACTTATATGGGGAGTTGAGTCATGAGCCTGTACGACCAAGGGTTCAAGAGTTATAGGCCAAAACATGGAAGTGGGCTGTTGCCACCATGAGGCGATTTGAAAAGTGTGGGGCAGAGGTTTTTCCTTAGCCTACTGGGAGTGTGCGTGCAAAGTTTCATACTTATCGGTCCAGCTGTGCTGATGATTAGCTGCTCACATATGGGTAGGATTGATTTAGGACATTTGTGATGGCATTGCCTGATCCCGTCTCTGTAAATACAGTTGACAGAATTCTGAAGTTGACCGTTCTATCATCTATATGGTTTAAGAAGTCTTTGGAATCATCCCTTAACCGATTCTCTACAGACTGCCATTGCCACTAACGCACCAAGTTTTGCAGTAGGTTCTCCAAGTTCTGTAGACACTTCAATGGAGGAATCCACATCAAGTAATCTCCTGACTGAGACTTTGAACCTGCAACCATCATTTGTAAGTATTGACTAAAGAAATCCAAGTGAAAATGCAATCCTAATGATACTGAATTTTAATTTATTCAACGATTTGTTAATTTAACATGTATTTACACAATTGTCAAGTTATTTGATGAGATGTTTTGTACTAAAACATACTCCTAGGTTCACTTGCTGTTTTTGTGTTCGTGGGTTGTGTGTGTTTAGTTTCTACTCCCTCCTGTTGTGACTGACTGACAGTGTGACTTGAGTTCTGTCTTTTCTCTCATCTTTCTTTTCTCTTTCTGCGGACTGCGCCCCTGGCCAGAGTAATAACTGGCACTACAAATCCTGAACCAACGAACCTAAACCTTTGAGGGAAAAATGTCCTCCCAAAGTTTTGTCAGTTTTTCATTGTGATTCATTCTATGTTTTATAGGCAATTCGCCAGATTCTTCAAGGCACTACTCAGGGGAAAGAAATAGTACAGAGTTTAGAAGAAAAGCGCTCCATCATCAGCAAGCAGAGAAAGCAACTTGTAAGACTACTTGTATCTCACCTGCTGGAAACCAATGGTGAAACGTGAGTGAGCCGCATATGAATTATTCTGTGAACATACACTTTCAAACAGATGAGATAAGAAATGTCAGTAAAGTAAATGTACGATGTTGCTGTCCAACACTGGCTATCACACACCTTCAACAACAACCGAGGAGTGCATGCGGTGAACAGCAGAACTCAAATGCACTTTAAAAGCGCATCACAATTCAGTGTTTAATTCATGGATTTGAATCGTCATATATTTGTAACAATGATTACTGTCTCATCTCATCGTTCTTTGACAAACTTCTACACTCTATTTAACAGGCCATCCACAGACACAAAGAAAGCCCTTGCCGTGGCATTGGTGTAGGAATTCCCTTGCCTTTTGGATGGTACAGGCAGTGGCTATGTAAGTTAATCAATCAACACATAAAGGAGAACACTCCATACACACACACCTAAAAGAAATGTGCTCAAACGTTTTTCCTAGTGCACAGTCACACGCACATTTTTGGATTGCTCCTTAAAATCCCATGTAACCATCTTCATGGTTTACGCCAGGCCAATTTAATCTGAATCTAATTTTCTCTTTTACAGGGAGCTTGGTACACACCTGGCCGAAATCACAAACCTGCTACAGGTTTCCTGGAGGAGCGCTTGAGGAACGTCAGGAAGCGCATGAGAATGCTGAAATGACCACGCCACCAAGAACAACAGAAGGAACAGACCGTCCCTAGTACACCAGGTAATACTAATAACCAATATTAATTATCCCCGCCAGGCTAGAATAGACAAATGCAAGGGCCCATCGATTCTATTGGTTCTGATGGTTAAGAAAAAGGTGTAAATCACACGAATCGACCAATGGGTTCCAGAGATATGGTCCTGCGTAAATTATAAAGAATGCCAGCCAGCTTAAGTACATTACGCAGCCGACTTCATTTATTGTTTACAACGTAACGAAGCAGGAAATGCAGCAGGACCCAGAGCGCACAGAGCACAGAGCGGACAGCAGATAACGGAATTGCAGTTGTATTGCTTATAGATTATCAGAACATTTCAAAGGGGACACAGCCCCATTGGATATTAATCTATGGATTAACTACATCATCGTTTTTATCGTTTTAATGCCATTGAAGACCAGTTTAGACCAGACAACGAGGAAGGTAAGTCATTGTTAGCCTAGCGCCATTTGTTTTGATGTACGTTTTTGTTGATAACGTCGCAAGTTTGTATCTTTCAGTGTTGGGCTGTTCAGGTGGGCACCGTTAGATTCTGTGTCTCCTTGCGATCATAAACAATGTGTTGGATGTGCAGCTAGGATAAGTAATAAGGGAGCGAGGAGTGATTTTCGGTGCTGTAATAGGTTAGCATTTTTCGCTCAGGGCTAATTCAGAGGCTCACTGTAAGAGTAGGCCTATGTTTTATTATTTATTTTTTTTCACAACAGTTGTATTTGGATGGAATGACAATTGGATGGTATTTTAGGTATAAATCACACCGATTTATTCCCCGTACAGTTTGTCCAGCTTTTATAATGTGATGTTTATTTCAACAGGCTAGTGGACCTCGAATGATGAAACACAGATCGTGAAGAGCCCTTTATCCCACGTTAGCTTTTCAAATTAAGTTTACAGACAAAGGGAAACACTCTCCCTCGATTTAACATATAACTGACCTCTGGCTTTTAGCTTTCAGCCTTGGTCTGTTATTTAACCCCAGTTTTAAACGGCGACCCGATCTAAAATATCGTGTTTCCAGGTTTTGTCGTGCAGGAATCAAACCTCGCAACCAAACAAACTGCACCGTCTCCACGCCACTCAGGAATAAACTACCTGCAGATCTGCGCCAAACTGCTCTATTTACATTACGCAGGACTTTCCGTCTACCTGGCGATCAACGTTTATGTTTTGTATATAACTTTCCTAACATAGTAAAATATGCATTGTATATTCCATTTAAACTTTAAAAACACTGTGAAACGCCTACAGACAATCCTAAAGTTTTAGCGTATCCAATTACAGACAGTCGAATTTCATAACAGGCGCCTGCGTACCTTATTTGTAGAGTTCGTGCAGGGCCCTGCCGATTGTCTGAGATGTTTGAAAGCGTTTATTCCCGACCCATTCTGGTCGTCTGGATTCTTCCTCAGCTTCGTTATATCTGGCACGTCGAGGGTCACCACTTGTTAGAGATTTAAAGGATATCTGGTCCGCTTTTCAAATCTCCGCGTGTCCCTATCAAGCTGGTTATAATACAGGAAGGAATCCAGAGCTACCAAGTAACCGTTAAACAATAATCTACTTTAATGGTAATATGACAATGCAATACAATCATTACAATACAACATAATATATTACAATTATATTGTAATGTTTAAGGAGTATGCCGGCCCACTCCTGCCCTGGTTCGCGTGCTGCGGAGATCCTTCCGGTCCTGGCAGCATGTGAAGAGAGACCGAACGTCAGGGATCTCCAGGAGATATACCAGAATAAGAAGGAGGGGTTAGGGGTTAGGTCAGCTGGTCATCTTTTCAGGTCATCTCATTGGGAGACGCAACGCTGGCCAGCAGAAAACCAAACAGGCTCACTTTCCAACAAAAGGTCTCAAGGCCTGCATACCTACACCTCCCCCACAGAGCAATAAAACCCTGTTTACTCCAACCAGCCCAGAATGTTTATAGCCATTTTTAGTCCTTACATTTATGAAAGGATAAAACAGAGAAATCAATATAAAACACAAACACAGGTATTGTTTGAACAGTATTCACTTAACTGCTACTATTGATAACCACCAGAGAAACCCAAGGGACCTCTCTTAATATCTATCTGGAATTTGCAACAAGACTTTCTGCCATTTCAAATGTAACACACTTCTTAAATATCAGATGATAATACTCTACAAGGCCTAGGTAATGTTCATAGGATTTCATAATTACACTTCACACACTTTTCTAGTAATTATTTCATAAGCAGCTTTATAGGTTGCTTGCTTATTAATATGTGTTTTTTTTATAGTGGTTTATAGTGGTTGCAGTGGTTTTATAGCTCATCCCCCAAGTCAAAAGGACAGATAACAAGGCATGTACACCGGCAGCATAAATAAGTTTACAGTGAACGTACCATTGTTATCAGAGTCCTCGGCATCCGCGGCGTAACTGCGGCTAGTATCCGCCTTAGCAGCCCCGGCATCGGCAGTGGAGCTCAGGCTCCCCTCATCAGGCGACTTATCCACCTCTTCCTCCGCATAGGACTCGACCACATCTACGGGGCTCACTATGGGTCTTGTGTTTAAGATACTGTCGAGATCCTCATACCAAATAAATGTCTCTTTGATACTTGGGGAGCTGCCGCTCTTCTGCAGCGCGTCGCGCACTTTTATGTATTGTTGTCGTAGTTTCTTCACCTTTATACGACACTGTTCAACACTCCGGTTAAATCCTAGTTGCTTCAGTCTGTCGCTAAAGATTTTGAACACCTCCGCGTTTTTAAGAACCTTCTCCAGCAGTTGAGAAATGTTCTCCTCTGCCCAGATATCCAGAAGGCATCTCTGTTCCTCATAGCTCCACGTTTGTGCCCTGCCGCTCATTTTCCCACCATTTGCAATCCTCTCCTCCACAACAAGAAATGACGTGCAAATACTACGCTATGTTTTGGTGCGGATTGCGTTCACACCAGCAATGAACCGCTCCAGAGTTCGCAAGAAAGCTTTCCGAGACCACCTATTTTAGCGGACCAGAGTCCGGTTGTTTAGTTCACTTAAGAGGTCTCGGACTGCGTTCACACCGACCCAAATGAACCGCACCAAGCGGCCAAACGCACCAGGGTTCGATTCAACCGGACTATACAAGGCAGGTGTGAACGCACCCTTAAAGTTTTAGTTTAAAATAGAGATACTTTTTAAATATTGTTCTATAATGATTAAATGTCAGTGAATAACAAAATGTTTAATTATATAACTTTTACATCTCATTTAAAAAAGGTGGTTGCTAACTTGATCAGTGGCATACTGTGACAATAACTGGGACTTCAGCTCAGCCACACTTAGCAGACAGACCAAAAAAGTGTCAACACGGCAAAATATTTAGCTATGGATAAACGGCATACTGTGACAACAGCAGCTGGCTATGGAGTGCAACTGTTGCATGAAATGACGGCAACCACCACACAATTACATTACAATTATAAATATATTAATTTAGAGTTTGTCTTTAACTGTGTGAGACTACTACTGATACTCTCATGGAGCACTAGATAATTGTCTGTTTGGAAGCTGCTTTAATATATTAATGTGAGTCAAAAGTACACATATATTCCTGCTTACATGATGTAGTGGGACATCCTGATATTTTTAAGTTGAAAGTGCAAGAAGCTGCAATTATTATTTTTCAGCTAAATTTGAGAATACAAAATTATTTCCTTTTTCTTCAGTAAAATCTGGACTTTCACTCACTCTAGATCTAATCAATTACAGGTGGCAGCCATCTGTAATTTAAGTTACTTTGAAAAAAACAAATGGTGACAGCACTTAATTGTCTAAAGCTAACTGTGAGTGACGTGCACTGATACATTTTTGAGGAAATATAATCTATCTAACAATCTATGTAAGCACTGAAAGCATCTGAAGCAGAAATACAGAACTTATTTATCTATGTCATTGTATGCCAACCTGAACAATCTTTGAATTGCATTCTGCAAAACTGACAAGACGAAATGCAAAACATGGACATTTCCTCGCGATAGGACTCGGAATGGTGAAACCAATTTGTGTCCACACCTGTAATAAGAAAGTATAAAACAATAAGCCTAAGGTTTAATTTAGCAAGCTTATTGAAATTGAATTTGTAAAATACAATATTTCTTACTCAATATCCACAAAAAGTGTGCCTTTTTCCGGAAAGCGTCCTGGCTGACGGTATTTCTTACTTTCCAACAAACCAGAGAAAGCGTCAAATATGCCATGTCTCCAGCGTCAAGAACTACCTCCAAAAGAATGCTCTGCAGCAATTCTTGCGGTAGCTATGGACATATTTTTTCAAGAACCAGGTTAACAACAGAACTGAATTTCAAAACAAATATTTGTGTATATTTATATATTGATATGCTCCTTCTTCATAACCAACCAAGAGAAGTGGTTATCTTAAGAATCCAGCAACATGTCTTTCTTGTGTCCACCATATTTTTTGGGCGCTCAGCTCTTTTATTGAATCCAACCACTTAAAAACACAAAAACAACCAGAAGATGATGCAGGGCTGGCTAAACTTTACTCTAGTTATGGTTGGGCTGATGGACAATGACATCGTGCATCAGCCATGTATGACAGCCATCGCCGTTGGATACCTGACCATCATCACATCATGAGTTAATAA